TGGTACCGTTTTTCCATGTTGGATATATCCTGATGGAATCGCTCGCCGTGTTCATCACTAACGGCTCCCAAATTTCGAGGAAAAACATCCAAATGAGAGTGTAAGAAGTGTATCTTGAGCGACATACTGCATCCCATATTCTTGTAAGTTGATAAAAGGTTGTTGACCAACTCTTCATAGTTTTCGGCCTTGTGGTTTCCAAGAAAATTCCAATCATGAAGTCGGGAAGCCAAGAGTTCTGCCTATCTTTTACTGAGATCCAAATCACGTACAAGGTCATTGAGAACGTTTTGATTTACAAAATGAGGTGCCGTATTTGAAGTGCTGGGCTCAAAAGTCGGATCGGAATCAGAATTCTCAGATACATTTTCTTCATCAATCATGTCATCCGTGTTTACTGGAGGCTGAGGAACAGGCAGATCATCATTGTGTGGGATAGGTCTTTGAGCAGATTGTAAATTCGGATAGTTCACAGTGTGTCTACCTTTGATAGAAGTTTGGCAGAAATAACAATCTGATACATGGTCTTTCTGTTCAGACCATATCATTGGAACTGCAAACGGCATATGACGAGATCCTTTAGCCCATGATGTTAATAAACTAAACACATTGTGCACAACAAACACTAGGAGTCCAGGTTTTATCCAAATTTCGCACCGGAAAGCCAAAATAATTAAAATAACAGTTTTTATCTAATGGTGTCAAATTACGACGTTGACTTTTAGTAGTAAGTTGACCGCAAATGTAACAAAAGTTATCAGGATGGTTTACACACACTCTGGGCATCTTATTACGATGTACAGAAACGACAATCACAAAAAAAAACCGTTTTAATTTCAATAATTCAATATTAATTTATCGGAAACATATGTACGTCGGTAATCAAAATTTGCGTAATCAATTTAGTTTATGTTTAACGAAAACTGAGGGTGATTGAACAAAACTAAGAAAGAGGTTTATATGCGGGTAGGTAGTAGTGTTTAAAAAACCGACTCGATTTTGTTTAACAAAAATACTGTTTAACAGTGTAATTTTTCAATTCGTACCAGTAGTTCCTGAGATAAGCGCGTTCAAACAAACAAACTCTTCAGCTTTATAATATTAGTATTAGTATAGATGAAATTCTGGCCAGAACAATCCTACTAGCATGATTCAGTATTCACGCGCGATGGCTTATTATTAGCGTATTTCATGTATAACTTTGGTGTTTCTATACCGATTTCTATGATTCTTTTTTATGGAATACTTAATACTGTTAACTTTTTTAATTAGGGATGACTGAGAGTGTTATAAACGTAAGAGTAGACAATAGACAAATACAATCAGAAAGCTTCGAACTGCTAAGCTATCGGGAGTTACACGTGTTATTGTGAGTCAACCATAAAAGATAGACATATGCTGTCGTGGGATATTTTTTATATAATTTTAAGGAGAACATTTCCGTCATACATGATTTCTGGGTAGCTTTAACCATTAAGGTTGCACACGCGACGGAAGCTTAAAAAATGGAGTAACTTCTTCCGTTTTCCAAACATTTCCCTTCACTGCTCTGCTCCTATTGATTGTAGCGTGATGAAAAGTATACTATAACCAGCTCAGGAGTATGAAAAATAATTGTACCAAGTTTCGTTAAAATCCGTCGAGTAGTTTTTGTTTCTATAACGGTTATACAGACAGACAAAAATTTTAGTGATTGCATTTTTGGCATCAGTATCGATCCCTAATCACCCCCTGATAGTTATTTTGGAAATATATTTCATGTACAGAATTGACCTCTCTACAGATTTATTATAAGTATAGAAGATAGATGTGGGAAATGTGACCCATGAAGTTTTGTTTTTCAACTATTTCTACAGTTTATTAGAGAACATCCAGGCATTTGTTCTAACTGCATGTTTTTCTTAGCGCGTGTGTCCTTCATGGAATTATCGACCGTACTAATAGTGCGTGAAATTGTGTGCATGCACCTGATTTGTAGTTTCCATTAATAGAGCGCTTGTGCTGAAAACTGCCGTATCTTCGCTTTTTATTTTTCGCTTCGCTGCGACTTTGCCCGCTTAAATGGCATTCGTGGATGATGTAGCTTTCCGTTAGGTGAAAGATTTTGATGATCGGGTCGGTATGTCGGAAGATTAACACCCCCCCCTGTACAAACGTGTACGTCAAGATAGCAGGCACACCAATGAATTTGATTTTCTTGTGTTTACCAAAAAAATAGTGAGTAAATAGTGACATTATAAATAGTAACACTGTAAACTAACAGACATTGAAATATCTTAGCGTGGCTGCTAATAAACGTCTAACTCGCAAGCACACTAGAGATACGATTAGTATTAGTTAGAATTAGGACTTCATAAAATTGTGACTGAAATTCTGATTTTCATATATATCATGAAAATCAGAATTTCAGTCACAATTTTATTTTATGAACCATAAGAGATAATAAAAGATAAAAAATAGGGATGACCACTGGGTAAAATAAAATAAATTCTAGTTAGTCCGTCAGTCAGATAACAGAAAAATTGCAGCATTAAAGTTGAGGAGTCGCTCATACGTCATAGTTTTGTACAAAAGCGTGACGTCATGCGACATTTCTTTTCTTTCGCCACAATTAATTGATCACGTAAAAAATACGTGTTTAATATTCTTCAATAGTCTACCTGATGGAAAAATCAAACTAAAATAAAAGTTCTTCATACTAAATGTTCCTGGATACTTGCGATGAATTTTAAACTTTGTTGTGTTGTAATAGGGTTTAATTGTATATTTGGTGATGTGGCCAGTACCACAGAACAAAAAAGTGTTAATGGATATCAAGTTTTCATTTTTATGTTAAGACAATTTTTCAACAACAAGTCAAATTGTTGGTGTACGTTATCTTGACAGACAAAGCTAGATTTTTACAATATTAGTTAAGATAATTAGAAACATTGAAATGACTTTAACTATGTGAACTCGAAAATTTCGTTTTGATAAATCATCAAATTTGCATAGAAAGCTAAAAGCCTCAGTATTCCAGCAGTCAGTCTGCCGGTTTCAGGGCCCATTTTTTAAACTGCCAGTCAATTGCATGAGAAATGGCGTGTTTTCAGTATGTCGTATTAAAAACCTAAATACAAGCATTTCTCATCTTGGAATAAATGTCAAAATAGTGGAATTACCTTCTGATTTGTGGAAAATTTATGTTATTTGAAGATTATAGAATTTGAAGTCTAGTGACCATGGTTTTTAGAACTTGTCCAGATGCGTCTAATGCGCCGCTAGTTATAGTGTGTATATACGTGTAAATAGCAACCAAGGAGCGATTGACCCGCGCAATCTTATAATCGTATGGGCGCACCTGAGAACATATATTTGGGTGTATTAGTGTACACCCTAATATCACTTTTCTCGGCATATTTTTGTTCTCGAGTTCAACATGCTCCACTTGCATGAGGTCTTGCACCTCACCTCCATACTAGGTACTCAGTAATACATTTATGTGATATATCATTTATACTAGTTATTACTTATACTAGTAGTAGCAATAGTTATGCAAATTGATTAAAAAATTATACATCATGAGCATTTGCATTTACATTTAATGGTTCAAGTATCAATCTTTCTTAACTTGAAGGTCCTATTTAAGGATAGTTGACTTGCTTTACTCAACAAACTTTTTTTTCCACAAAATAATGTAACCTTGACATTCCTGAAACAAAATTATACTATTAAAACTTTTATTTATTTATAGCATAGTATTTCTAAAATGCAATAAATTGAAAAAATTGGCTACCTTTATAGTCTCCAGCAAAAAGTATAATTTTGTTCTTTGTATGGAGAACTCAGTGTTGTTCTGATATCTCCATGAAGTTATGGCCCACACTTTTTGGACAGCATTCTAATAGTAACTTGTGACTTGCCACTTGATGTGTGATAAAACTCCATCTATTACAGCTTAGGATGTGTAAACCAAAATTATATATTCTCCATATAATGTGAATAGAAAAGTATCTTTTAAGTCACTCAATAGGACTATTCAGCCTTCTCACAGTCAGAGACAATGATGTGATAAGGTGGTCACTTCGATGTGTGTGGTTATTGATTATCACACTTGTTATAGTCTCCTTTGCTATAATCATCAGTTTTTAAAAATCTTTAATCTGAAATAAATATTATTTTTTGAATATAAATAAAATTAATAAAATACATATTTGGAACTAACTCCATAAACTGATAAATAAATTAAATAGGAATTCTAATAACAGTACATAACGTCAATCTTTACCAAAATATACACCAATTATATTACCATCATATTTTCATAACCATATTGCCTCCATTTTAACCATTCTTGATTCGCCATTTACTGTAATTGTTAATGTAAAAAGAGAATAATTACATAATTCACTCAATATACCTTAGATCAGATCATACCACAGCTTCACAAATCACTCACCATTAACTGAATGTATCTTGCTTTTCATCCATTGCTCTGTTCTGGGTCACAAATCTCACTCCAGGAACTTCCACCAATAAAACCTCATGAACAAAACTAACCACACACAGATGTGCACACCACATAACTGCATGGCATTCTGTCTGTTCACTTTTTGTTCCTTAAGTACCATCCACAGAGTAATATATATACATTCATCCAAAATGCACTTTTGAGGACAAACATTACAATATCAGTCTGTGCTCAGTTTTGTTAATCTGTTGAATTCTCATTTGGTAAAACAAATTAAAACATCCATCTCAATATCATACTAGTTTATTAAGAATCTCAGCACTCCAGATCATCATACATATTACACACTGCTCTAGTCATCTTACTTCTAGTATAATCTGCATCAATATCTTATACATCCAAGAACTTAATGAATCATGTGATATTTTTATCACTTATATAATGACAAGTTCAAAAAAATATATAATATGAATTTACTTCTAACACTCTTATAATATAGATTAACTAATCAAGCAGGCATTCCTGATATGACAACCAACATTGGCTCACCTCATGTTTGGGGCTTATTGTTCCATCCACTGCTAGATCCAGAACCACCACCGCCACCATTGCCATTCCATCCTCCCTGACTATTTGACCAATTGTTTCCTTGGTTCCAGTTACCACTTCCCTTCCCACTGCCACTGCCTCCACCACCTCCACCTCCACCATTCCAGCCTTGATTACCACCTTGGTTCCAAGAGGGTGGGGGTCCATTTTGTCCCCAATTTTGATTGCTATTCCAATTTTTTCCAGAACCGCCTTGAGGTGGTCCTTGCCAGTTATTTGGGCCTTGATTACCAGGTCCACCCAAGAAACCACCCCACCCAGCCTGATTCAAAGCAGCAGCAACAAGACTTATTGGCAAATTAAAATTGGGTGGAGGCCCACCGTTAGGGTTAATTCCTAAATTTTGCATATTTAATGAATCAATATTACTATTGCCCCCGCCATTGTTTGAGCCTCCAGAAGGACCAGATCTGTTGCCATCCCAATTATTATTACCATATGAATCATCTTTCCAGTTTTGATTTGACTTACTTTTTATTTTTGGTGCTGCACTAGAAACTGATACAGATGCACCTTTGATTACATGATCTTCACCACAAAGACTTTGGGCAACTTCTGGGTCTAAAAAGGTAACAAATCCAAAAGCCCGGAAAGGCCTAGGCACAAACACATCTGTTACTTCTCCAAACTTGGAGAAATATTCTCTAAGATCATCAGCTGTCATATCCTCTGTACATCTTCCAACAAATACTTTACAAGGCATTTGGGGTACAACCCCTTCTTTAGAATTGGGAATGCGCACATCTACCCATCTACCATCAATATTATGTCTCTGTGCTAATGCTCTCATTTGAGAAGCATAAGTGGCAAACCTTATGAAGCCAAATCCTTTGAAGGAACCATTCTTATCCCTCTTTAATTGAACCATGACCACTTCACCAAACTGTTCAAAGTACTGTTTGATAGATTCTTCAGTTGATTTCCAAGGTAATCCGAGACATATTAAATCTGAACAGGTTAACTTCTTTTCTAGTCTTTTGGTTTTCGCAGCAGAATTTTCAGGTGAAACATCTTCCATTTTGCGTTTGTTTTCTTTGGGAAATACGCAAACATATAAATGCTTACCCCAACCAACTTCACCAGGAGGATGCAACTTTCCATCACTCAAACGAATGCCACGTACAGACTTACTTTCAGGGTGACGATATTTTAATCCCGATGCGCCAGGAAATTGAGCAACAAGGGTTGTTAGCAGGAGTGTACCGTCTAATTCGCAAGGAATTTCTACAGCATTCGATTCATACTCGTCTTCACTGACCTTTATGTACTCAAATAAATCTTCATTATAATTATTACTTGATTTTGCCATGGTGCTTTGAAACAGCAAATAGGTATTTCAAACCAAATTGAAACAAATAAACATACTCTCCTTTTATTCACCACAAAACGTGAATATAATCGATATCGCACAACAAAATGGCCACGTTTAAGGATGCAACGATATACCGATACACCGATATAAATCGATATATTGACGCCCAAAAATATCAATATCGCAGTTTCTTCGACATATCGAAACCTATTTACATATGTAGATGTAAAATAGTGGTATTTTTACAGATGGTATTTTTAAAAAGAAGAATAACATGTAGCTAGGAAGCAGTCACCACAAATTATGTGCTTATGAGGAAGTATTTAAAAAAACATTAGTTCTCAAAATCTAACTAGATGTCGCCACGGTACGCTCTTGATTTCTCCATGACAACCTTTCCCGTTTTATTTCATGTTTAAAAGTAAATTAGGTTTCAAAATTCAATAAACAACTCATATTCTATTTGTACTTTTTTGTATTTGTATTGATATCTAAGTTTCGAACTTTTCAAATTTCAGTTTTTTATTATATTAGTTAATAGGAACGGAAATAACTGTCTTTGGTCCATTCGTTTCCTGCAAAAATCAACTTTTACTAGAGTCGTCATCTAGTGAAGGTGTTTTTTTAGTGCTTTCGTTTTTTTTTAAATATTTCCTCATTAAAAAAATACACTTATGATAAAACGGTATTTTATTTACATATCATTTTTACAACCAAGATTTTTGAATTTACTTAAGACCCAAAAAATAAATCAAAAAGTTGATGTCGGCTTTGTGATAGATTTATCGATATCGACCATATGCGATATATATTGAACTCGATATTTGTATGAAAATGCATCTCTAACCACGATCCAAAAAAAATTAGGAGTGGCGAACTAATTTAAACGAATTAACCTCTTTTAATATTAAGTAATAAATACTCGCATCAGACATATGCACAAATATGCAAATATAGGTGAATCATAATTTGATGACACAAAATAAAAATCAGTTTTTGGAGGCGAGAAATATTGTTTTTAATGTAAATAGTGAAATAAGCTGAAAGTCAACGACTTTTTTTGATTTCAAAAGAATTCATTAGTGAATATTCGTTGGCGTGTCGACTACTACAATAAAATTAGAAATTCGTCGAATAGTGATTTCACCAAATAACCGAATACCAAATATAATTTGCTTTAACTTTTACGAACTGGATATTTGGTCGAATTATTTGATTAACCATTTCATTATTTTTATTTAGTCAGTGTTTTAAAGTGCCCCTTGTAATACAACGAACAATGATTTCGGAAGCAGGAAACCTATATGAAGAATATTAAATCTGACATTTAAAAGGGATAGGATAGTTATATTGACATTTTAAATTTTAATTTTAATAAAATTTAATAAAAAAAATTTATATCTATATAAAATATGTCAACAAAGTGTATAGGAAGAGAGACTTTGTTTATTTGCTAGACATAGTTTTTTCCAATGAGTCTACATACTACTCATATTATAAAGAGGAAAGATTTGATTGCTTGTTTCTTTGCATTGAATGTGGTGTACCCAAATTATTGGTTCTAGTATAAAATTCTTACACCTACGGGAAGCTACATAATACTCGGAGGACATAGGCTATAATTTACACAGGCGAAATCGCGGGGAAACAGCTCGTTGGATAAAATAAAAAGCCGAGAGCTTGGTGTTTCTGCACATTATACTATTATTATACCATGCAAGAATACCTAAGTTAAAAATTTTAACACTAATTTAAATATAATAATATAATTTAAATGATTTATCATATCAAAATTCTGTAATATCATATCTACTTAATTTAAATATTTATTAATTAGGTGAGTTTTCAAAACATAAATTATTTAGTTTATAACACAAAGGAAATACTTATTACCTACATTTTAAAGCACAATGTCCCCTCTCTCCAAATTTGCTGTGCCTGACGGGGTTTTTATGAACATCCTAATACTACGTTGTGGAATGCAATAAAATAAATAAATAAAAATAATTTACCATTAATTAATTAAAATTATTAAAACGTATATTTAAAAAATTGTGTCACGATGTATGTTGCCAATAAACTACAAAACTACTGAACCGATTTCAATCAAATTTCACATTTACCCATATTTTGGTCTAACTTACTGGATAGGATAGTTATCATCTCAATTATTGGCTTATGTCGTGAATATACTAATTAATTGTTTCTTAAGCAAGTGTTTATTTACTGTTTAGTTTTATGAAGTTCTCATAGATGGCGGTGTACGTGTGATTCATAGATAAAATTCTTCAATATCGTTTGACATCTAGGTTGCAAACATACCCAATAGATGGCACTGTGTTCTGTTTCTTAGAATATAAATTCTATTACTTTATTTCACGTAATATTAACCGTATTATTTCAATGGTTTATGACTTATGTGGCGACTGATACATAGCGACATCTATTACATCGCAGTAACATCGCCACAACAATCGATAGCGAGAAGACTAGCATCGTCACAGCCATCGATAGCAAGACGAACTGCAATAAGTTTCAACAGCAAGTAACGAGATGGCGCTGTACCAATACAAGCAGCATAAATTAATAACTACAAGACATTTAGAACAAAGAAACCTTCATCGCACAGAATAAGTTTCATTACCAATTAACATAAATAGAACGTCCAACCTACATCAGTCGGACCGCGGTCCCCGGGCTAACAACACCTAGCTCGGAGGGAGACAATTATCCTTTAGTCTCCCTGACCAAAACTTATATTTTTATAATTATACTGCGTATTATGTAACAGAATTAGTTAGAGAATTATTAAAGTCTTGGCGCTAAATTTTAATCAAAGTTTAAGATCGCGCCATCAAATTCTATCGAGTCGCCTTAACAGGTTTGAATGTCCAAAGCTTTGGATGTAAATGTATTAGTTTGAACCTATCAGTACCTAATGGAATGAATAAATAAATATTCGTTAGAAATGCTGCGCAAAGTAACTTTACCACGCGGACGAAGTTGCGGGCAAAAGCTAGTATATATATTTATTATTGGTTATCTTTTGTTGCTTTTCTCTATTATATGTTTAAAGTGACTAAAGTTTATAAATATTTATGATTTGAAGCTTCATTGCTTTATTTTATTAAATACATTCTACATAGGATTTATTTGTAAATAAGTTAATTAATCAAAAGTAAATTAAAGCGCAATTGATTTAGTTGCAATGTAAGTAATTAAAAAAAATAATAAATAGCAAAATACATCAATAATATAACACTTTTTTTATTTATTCGTGTTAGATTCTGTGTCGGATAAAATATTGTTGGCTCTTTCTGTGGGGTCGTGTAATATATAATATAAGATGTTACTGATAAACATTTAAGCTCGTAAACATTACTTCGATGTTATGTTTAAAGAGCACAAAATAACGAATTGAGTAATGAATTGTTGCACCGGCGATTATTGTATGTGGCAAGTAGATCCGCGTTTTTAACTCCCAAAGCAAATCGTGAGCAGTTGTTCAGTGCGTGTTTTTATGTCAATAATAAAGTGGAGTAATGATGTTTTATTTAAATACTTCCTCATTTCAAATCTGACAAAAGCTATTTTATTTTAAAATTATCAACTTAGACCGATTTTTTTAAAACGAAAATTTGGGTTCGGTTGAAATCGATTTAAATATCGATCTTCATCTGAAGTAATCACATCTCTAGTAGCAATTTCGTTTAAGGCAAAAGGATGTTAGCCTACACAGCTTAAGCAGATCTTAGATGTTTGTTTCATTAAAGTTATTTCTTTTCTACAGTTTTATGTTAAGACAATATCAATCTACATTTTCAACATGAAGTGTAAAAGTGAAGGTACATAAAGTGAGCTTTTCGCATTCTCACAATGTCGTGGCCACAGTTGGGGTTTAACAACTAGATAACAGTCCTTAATCTTTAACCAATATATACTTTTTCTCTTTACCTTAACTCAAGCCCTTTAATGTGGAAGTATTTCAAAAAATAAGATTAGTTCTTGAATTCAAACTAGATGTCACTAACAATTTTCGGATAACTGTCTATGATATTCATTTAAATTTACTTTCTGATGTAATAAAAGTAAATTGAGTATAGAAAATTAATTAATAAAACAACGATTCGTGTTTCTTATAATATCTAACTTTTGAATTAATTTTAATTGATTTGAATCGTTTAGATCCTACACTTTGTGCTCTAGTGTTTCTTCTAGTCTTTCTTTATTTATTTTTTTAATTCTTCCTTATTATTTTACCATGGGTAATATTCGGTCGGTTTCTGAAATGAAAATTAAAAGAACGTCACACTATAATTAAACGTCACTTAAACAATGTTTCTTTTCTGATTTAAGTTTTCTCAAAGTATAATCAATATTTGACTATTTGATAATTAGCATGCTAAATGCGTGCTTTTGGATATACTTAGGGCGCTTGTGCACTACACTGACTTTTCAGGTCTGGCGGATCGATTTTTTTCCGGTCCAAAATGACATTAAAAAGCCGGATGAGTAGCTTATGCACTTGTCCGTTTATTTCCGGATCGGTGCGGCGCAGTTTAGGGCAGCTTATCCCGGACGGTAAAATTCCTGACAGTGCACAGGCTTTCATTACCTATATATGGCCTGACATATCGGTCCTGAAAAAATCGGACCGCCGGACATGAAAATTCAGTGTAGTGCACAAGTGAAGTCCGATTTTTTCCGGTCCTCAATGACTTGAAAAACGCGGATGAGTAGCTTGTACACTTGTCCGTTTTTTTTCGTAGCCCCGTTTAGGGCAGCTCTCTTTGAAGCTACACGTCACTTACGCTATACTCCTTTCATTATTATAACAGTAGAAAAAAGAGGGTCATAGAAGCAGCAGTGCAGAACATTTTATTTAAAAGATGAATTTAAAAAATATATATTATAGTTTTGTTGAAACTTTGAATGTTAGGTAGTCTGAAAGAGCTGGACAATTTTCCATTTTTTACGATACCTCGGGGTTGTGATGA